CCCTACCTCCCCAGTACTGAGATTGCAGGTGTACACCACCATATTTGACCCTACCTCCCGAGTGCTGAGATTGCAGGTGTGCTAATGTCGTTTTGCTTCTTCTATTGTAAATTAGGAGGTCACCTGGGGAAGAGGTGTTTTCAGTCTATGTAACAAAATAGCCATGGACAGGATATAACCTAAGTCATTCCCCCACTACCTAGAAAACAATGCTAAGGAAGTTTGTACTGCCTGCCCTCCTTCAGTTTACCTTGATATAAAAGTTGTTTGGAAAAACAAACACAGGTGATTTCAGGATTTGAATGATCCTGAAACTCCCTACTAATACTTTCATGTGAAGTGTACCTCATTTATTCCCACACCTGACAGTGTGCACCACCATATTTGGCCCTACCTACCCAGTGCTGAGATTGCAGATGTGCACCACCATATTTGACTAGGACACAGTTTACCTCACTAAGAACGTTTATTCCCAAGAACAGATGGAAACTTCTGCTACAGTGGTTTTTTTTTTTCATCTATTGAGATAAGATTCAATAGTCCACATTTAATCTACTAGAAGCTCAAGAACAAACCCACACAAAGTACAATGTGGGAGCCGCACTTGTTGTCACTGAGGGTAGGGCTGACGGGAAATGGACATAAAGCTGCTTAGCAGGAGTGTTCAGACACTGGTGCTGGAGAGAATTACATGTGAATCCACTTGTCCAAACTCAGGAAGGCAGAAATGTGACTTGTGCATATTGGCACTGTTAGCATACAGAAGCGCTGTCCACGCCGCCGCGTCTGCACACAGGAGCTTCAGTATGACCGATATTCCTTGTAGATTTGGGGAAAGGAGCATAGACATCTAATTCATATGCTCTGCAAGCCTTCTGGAACACTTCTGAGAATGTCTTTATAGAAACTCTGGGAAAGAATTTAATAAAACCTTTCAAACGATTGTTCCTCTCACGGCTTATTGTTAGTATTTTTGGTATGTTGAGATGGGGGTCTCACGCCATAACTCAGGTTGATCCTATAGAAAACCTCTCCCCTCAGCCTCCTGAGAGCTAGAATTACAACTGTGAGCCATTTTGTCTGGCTTTCTTAACATTTATTGAAAGGCACTGAAAAGGCAGAGAAAATTTGACTGTGAATGATGTCTCCCTTCTATTGAAGTGTAAATCCTACTGAACAGGTTTGTGCTTCTAGTTAATCCCAGGTCAGGTTTGTCTTTTCCGGGCATCTCATCTGATCCGTATCTGATTAGGGTCAAGATTCTGAATGAAACAATCAAAGGTCCACATTAGTTCCCACTTATATCTGGTCTCCCAAACGCCATGAGAATCTATGATAACTCTAGCTAATATACACTCCCAATTATGAGATGATTTCTCTGTGCTCTTTGACAGTTTGGATTAGACAGCTCAGCATCCTCTTGACATATTAAAATGTAAGTTTGTAGAGTTTATTTCCCATATGAATCCTCCGCTGAAAAAAGACCCTTGCCATATTCAGCATCAGCATGGACTCGCTGGTGAATCACAAGGCTGGAGCTCCAGCTGAAACCTTTCCCACACGCCTCGCACTTGTACGGTTTCTCTCCAGTGTGAACCCTCTGGTGGGCTTGAAGATATGAGCTCCAGCTGAAGCCTTTCCCACACACCTCGCACTTGTACGGTTTCTCTCCGGTGTGAACCCTCTGGTGGGCTTGGAGGTAGGACCTCTGCCGGAAGCGTTTGCCACACACGTCGCATTGGTAGGGTTTTTCTCCTGTATGGACTCCGCGATGGGCTAGAAAATTGGAGGCCCGACAGAAGTCTTTCCCGCACTCCTCGCACTGATAGGGTCTTTCTCCGGTGTGGGACCTCTGGTGGGCTTGGAGCTGTGAACCCACACTGAAGCCCTTCCCACACTCTGCACACTGGTACGGTTTCTCTCCCGTATGGACCCGCTGATGCACCTGAAGACTCGAGAACTGACTGAAGGCTTTGCCACATGTCTCGCATTTGTAGGGTTTCTCTCCGGTATGGATTCTACAGTGAACGTTCAGATCTGAACTCCGACGGAAGCTCTTCCCACACGTATTACATCTGTAGGGTTTCTCACCAGTGTGGCCTCTCTGGTGGGCCAGAAGGTTTGAGGCCTGGCTGAAGCCTTTCCCACATTCCTCACATTTATAGGGTTTTTCGCCCGTGTGGACTCTAATATGAACGTTAAAGTCAGAACTCCGACTGAAGCCCTTCCCACAAGCACCACATTGATAGGGCTTCTCTCCGGTGTGGCCTCGCTGATGGTCCAGAAGATTAGAGGTCCGACAGAAACCTTTCCCACATGCCTCGCATTTGTACGGCTTCTCTCCAGTGTGGCTTTTCTGATGAGCATGGAGGTGCGAGCCTACACTGAAGCCTCTCTCACACTTCTCACACTTATAGGGCTTTTCTCCTGTGTGCATTCTACAGTGGATGTTAAGGTGTGAGCTGTAGCTAAAGCCCTTGCCACAGGCATCACATCTGTACGGTTTCTCTCCGGTGTGGATTCGATGATGGGCACGCAGCCGTGAAAACCAGCTGAAGCCCTTCCCACATTCCTTACGCTGAAATGATTCCTTTCCAGTACGGACTCGCTGATCCACTTGAAGATACGTGCTCTGACTGAAGCCTGCCCCACCCGCCTCACATTTGTGGGGGCCCTCTCCTGTGTGGACTAACAGAGGGGTCTCACCACGTGAGTTTTTCCCAAGAGGTGCACACTCCTCATATTCGTTTGAGTTTTCTCCAGTGGGGACGCTCTGGTGGTAATGAAGAGGTAGTCTTTGACCGAGATTTCTAAACAGTGTGTCAGACTGGTGTGATCTGTGTCTCTTGTGCACTCTCTGGTGAAACTGAAGACTTGAGACCAGATGGAAGGTGTCACAGTTCTCGCACTTGTAAGGCTTCTCTCCTGGAAGAGCGTGAAGATGGTGGCTGCAACCGGAAATTTTCACACGTGTCTCTTCTTCACGGCGTTCTCCAGGGTGATCTTGAAGAAATGAATTCTGACCAGACTGTTTACTGAAGCCGGCTTCTTCACACTGGACACCATCCTGTTTCCCCAATGGAGAACCAGTTTCTCCAGGCTCTCGACCCTGAGTTAACTCCTTTGTAACTTGGTGCCAGATTCGTGAGCAGAAAAACTCCTCGTGCGGCAGGTACCTCCATCCTACCTCCTGAAGCAACTCCATCTCATTTAGATTCCTGGCTCCTAAAAGCATAAAAAGAGTTCAGAGAGAGAGGTAGGGCGTGTGAATGCTCTGTTGGCTAGAGTCCGAGTTATATAGTTAAGACCTCCGCCTAAGACTTCCCTGGACCAGAGGATGGTCCCCTTCCCTCTAACATCCTGTGTCTGTCCTCTCACCTCCACGCCCTAGAAGCCAAGGCTCCCATACTTATTAATGAGACCCATTTAGAGCCCTACAGAGCATCACAGTGACACTGCTCACCACACACATAAATAAATAAATAAGTTCTTTAAATGTAAGGTAGAAAGTGACCAAGGAAAACAGCATTGATCTGTGGCCTCCCGGTATGTGTGTGTGTGCATGCACATGCAAACACATGTGTACACATCCACGAGTAGCCATCCAAATGTAGAGGAAGAACATGATGTTAGTAAGTCTGAGGGAGACAGGGCAAGTGGAGATGGATGCTGAGAGCAGGATGGACTCACAAGAGCAGTACAAAGCCCTGGCTGACACCAGCCCCAAAGCTGTGCACATGCTAAGAAGCAGGGTGGATAAGTCACTCTGTTCTCACCTGTAGACTCACTGCTGCAGCTAGTCATCATCAACATCCAAAGCACGTCTTCTCTCTTGAGCTGGGGAAAAGCATCTGGAGTTATGAGCTGATGCCCTGTGGTGGGGGGAATAGATAGATAGATAGATAGATAGATAGATAGATAGATAGATAGAT